AGAGATCCGGAATCGTCCGGATCTCGGGGGGTAGTTCGTTCCAGAGGGTGGGGGCACCCACAGAGAAGGCCCTCCCCCTGGGGGTCGCCAGCCGACATTGCTTGGCCGACGGCACCCTGAGGAGGCCCGCTCTGTGGGAGCGTACCGGCCTGTGGGAGGGAATCTGCGGCAGAAGGCGGTCTCGGAGGTAGCCAGGTCCTATGCCATGGAGCGCTTTAAAGGTGGTGACTAGCACCTTAAAGCGTACCCGGAAGGCCACTGGCAGCCAGTGCAGCTCGCGCAGCAGCGGTGTTACATGGGAAAAGAGGAAGAAAAGGTTAGGAAGGGAATCAAGAAAGAACTGAAGAAACAGGCGATTGGGAAGCACAACTGAATGTGTCTCAAATCTCAAATATGAGCCATTTGTCTTCCAGGCATCCTGCACAGCACCATTATGTTAATCGCGGAGATGTGTGAGAAAAACTCGCAGGCCCTCGCACATTTCTCCAAGGTAGGAAGCCGTCGACTGATATGTTTAAAAACTTCCCCGCCTGCAGGAGGTCAGGCTGGCTGTGGACGATGGGATCCGAGGCCTGCAGAAACACCCTCATTTCTCCTTCTTCTTGTCGTCCTCTGCAGTTTGTTCCCCAGCTGGCCGGAATTTTGCGCAATCTGGTGGTGGCCGGATATTGTCCAAATAACAGCATTGCGGGCATCAGCGAACCTTTCCTGCAGGTAAGAAAGGGCTGGACTAGAAGACCTCCAAGATCCCTTCCAGCTTGTATTCTGACTCCTCCATCCGAGCCGCAAAAACCTGCAGTCCTCTCTCTGTCCGCTCTTTCTCTCTCCAAAGGTCCAGCTTCTCCGGCTACTACGGATTTTAGGACGAGACAACGGCGAGGCGAGCGACGCCATGAACGACTCCTTGGCGCAGGTGAGCGAAGAAGAGGGACGCCTGGGAAGGAGAGGGTGGTTGGAGAAGTTCAGGGTCAACCCCAGGAAGACGTCGGAATAATAATAATAATAATAATAATAATAATAATAATAATAATAATAACAACAACAACAACAACAACAAGAAGAAGAAGAAGAAGAAGAAGAAGAAGAAGAAGAAGAAGAAGAAGAAGAAGAAGAAGAAGAAGAAGAAGGAGAAGAAGAAGAAGAAGAAGAAGAAGAAGAAGAAGAAGAAGAAGAAGATCGCACAGACTGACTACAAACAACGGCATGACAAAGTAGCAACAATGGTGCATTGGAAGATCTGTAAGAGATATCATTTGCCTGTAAGCAAGAACTGGTGGGCTCATAAATTAGAGAAAGTCAAAGAAAATGATAAAATTAAACTGCTCTGGGACTTCGGAATTCAAACAGACAAGCACCTGCAGCATAACATCCCGGACTTAACAATTGTCGATAAGAAAGACAAAAAAAGTCTGGATAGTGGACGTGGCAGTGCCTGGAGACAGCAGAACAGACCAGAAAGAACTGGAGAAGATCACAAAATACAAAGACCTACAAATAGAAATAGAAAGACTGTGGCAAAGGCAAGCAAGGGCGGCACCAATAGCTAATAGGCGCCTTGGGTGCAATCCCAAAACAGCTGGAGCACCACTTGGACACCATCGGCATTGACAAATTCGCCATTAGTCAATTGCAAAAGGCGGCCTTACTAGGAACCGCTTCCATCCTGCGACGAGATCTGTAATACCATCAAACATCCACATGTGCCTATCCCAGGTCCTTGGGAAGGACTCGATAGGTAGACAAAAATGCCAAATCCAATCTGAACATCTAGCTGACTGTGCGATGAATAATAATAATAATAATAATAATAATAATAATAATAATAATAATAATAATAATAATAATAATAATAATAATAATAATAAAGTTGGAAGGGACCTTGGAGGTCATCTAGTCCAACCCCTTGCTCAGGCAGGAAACCTACACTATTTCAGACAATTGGTTGTCCAGTCTCTTCTTGAAAACTTCCAGTGTTGGTGCATTTGTTATTAAAAAAGGAAAACTGTGGAATAATAAGCCAGATTGATCTTGTGAGGAAGGCAGCAGACTAAAAAGCAGAGGGCTATGAGTTCTAGTCCCGCCTTAGCCATAAAAGTTGGCTGGGTGACTTTGAGCCAGTCACAAGGAGGCTGTGAGTTCTAGTCCTGCCTTAGGCATGAAAGCCATCTGGGTGACTTTGGCCCAATCCTTTTCTCTCCACCAGGATAGACAGATAGACAGATAGACAGA